CAAAATATTTAGTATCCAGAAAAAAGTTTGACCGTTGATCACTTGCTGACTACTTATTTTTTTGGGTTCAAAATTAAGCTCCAAATATCAGCTTTCTTCTATGTATCAAAATATTTTTTAACGGGAAGTTCAAGTTCATTCATTACTGTATTTATAAATAAAGCTTAGGTAAGATATGGTTACACTGCATAAGTATAAAGTATAAAGTATAAACTATAAGTACATACTCCCTTCATTTTAATTTGTCTGAACCTTTTCGGAGTACAAGGGTTAATTGATTAATTTTTTATGTAAATTCGGACATAATTCTTTAATTAAGTTAGAAATTGTATAAAAAGTACTATAAGTAAAAAATATTAACAATTCAAAATATTTAAAAATTATTTACAAAAAATATGGCCAAATAAAATCTTATTTGACTCCCTAAATAATAGTAATAGGTTCATTCTTTTTTAAACTGAGAGAGTATATCATACATCTAACTAAATTAAATTGATCACTTTTGCACATTTAGATAATACCAATCATTTTAAATTCAAGTACTACATTAATCTAATAATATTGATTTTCAACATTTAAATGATTGTTTTATTTTTCCACGTGAATTGCTTTATGAAAATTCTTCTTCCTGAATGTATATGCAATTTTCTCATTAATTGAATTTGCTATTTTATAATTGATTAAATATTTATGTGTCATTATTAACGTGTAACACACGTTCATAGAAACTATTATTATAAAATCACGAATAATCTATGCTAAATGTTAGATGACTAAAATATCCTCAAAACTTTAATAGACTTTTATACCCTTAATATTTTAAGTTAAAGGTGGATATAATTGTAATATTTCAAATATATTACCCAAGAATAGAATTCTTTCCAAATTAAACTCCATATATGCCGACAACAAATTCCTACTCTACTAATACCTAGAACTTTTTAAACAACTATAACTGGTAAAGTTGAAAATAATTATGAATTTGGATAAACTTACTATACTTGTCATTACGATAAACAACTTGAATAAAAACTAATATTAAATATTATTGCATTCTTTAACCGACTTATAAATTTATTCGTATCATTTTATAATTTTAAACTATTTAGTTCCAATTTATTATTTGATTATCACAACATTATTATGATTTGGTTTGCACTACATATATATAACTTCTATTTTAAGCAACTCATCATCTAACTTTAACAATTACTTATGGTACGTATTTGTAATATTTGACACAAGATATTCATGCAATACACGAGTATAGAGATTAGTTATATTAAAAGTACGAAATCCCTTAAGGAAATGTCGTTCGCCTTTTTTCTATAAAGCGGTGGTTAGACCGGCCATGATGTAAGGGGCTGAGTGTTGGGCTGTTAAGAACTCACATATCTAGAAAATGAGAGTAGCAGAAATGAGGATGTTGAAGTGGATGTGCGGGCATACTAGGATGGATAAAATCAGGAATGTTGATATTCGGGATAAGGTGCGCGTGGCTCCCATTGATGAAAAGATGCGGGAAGCGAGACTCAGATGGTTCGGGCATGTATAGAGGAGGAGCCCAGATGCCCCAGTAAAGAGGTGTGAGCGGCTGGTTGTGGAGTGCACGAGAAGAGGTAGAGGGCGGCCGAAGAAGTATTGAGGAGAGGTGATCAGGCAGGACATGGCGAGACTTCAGATTTCCGAGGACATGGCACTTGATAGGAAGAGATGTGGAGGTCGAGTATTAGGGTTGTAGGTTAGGAGGTAGTTGAGTGTTGTCTTATTTCGTACCGTTGTGAGATTAGTCTGGTAGGGTTTTTGTCTAAGCTAGCTAGTGGCAATGTCGTGTCTTACTATTTTGCGTTTCAGTATCGGACCTATTTACCAGCTATCGTTTTTGTTTTTGCTTTGCATCTTTCTTTTGGATTTCATATTGTTCCTATTTTTCCTATGATTTCTGTGGTGATAATTATTTATTATGTGTTATTTTGTTTTTTTGTCCTCTTGAGCCAAGGGTCTTTCGGAAACAGTCTCTCTACCTCTTCGGGGTAGGGGTAAGGTCTGCGTACACACTACCTTCCCCAGACCCCCACTAGTGGGATTTCACTGGGTTGTTGTTGTTGTTGTTATTGTAAGTATACTTTATATTGGATATTATTGTAATTATAAATATAAATAATTTAAATTATAGTGTAAAAAAAAAAAGCTCGGTTCAACATCCGCAATTAAAGTCATTTTTGGCTTAGGATTTCTTTACCAAACTGACCGGCAATTAATGTCACTCAAATTTTTCACCCGCAGTTAAGATCACATTTGGCTTAGGATTTTGGCCGGCAATTTAATGTCACTGTAATTTTAGTATTCTTTTACCATAATTGTTGTTGATTTTGTTTAACTATAATTTACTAGCGTAGTGGGTTATTCAATTAACTGGAAGTTCTTTCTAGAAAGAATAAGGAGAATACAAATTGAAGAATATTCTATATTTCAAATATTTACGGTTGTACAATAACTTTTATAGTGTGAAAAAGCCATGCTTTAATGTCACTTTTTAAGTTTAGGGTTCTTTCATCAAAATCACCCAGCAATTAATTAATGTCACTTATGGTTTAGTATTCTTTTACCAAAATTGTCGTAGGATGCAAAGCAATTTTTGGTTTTCTAGAATTTTAAAACTAAAATTATAAAAAGAAGTCACTATTCCATATTTCTTATCATAAACTATTGGTAGTTCCTGTGGGATGAACTTGCTTGTGATTTTGAGGTAAATTTCAAATCTTTAGGTTATTTTTGAAGTTATATAATAATAAACAATTGCAAATTAAAAGGTTATTGTTGCGATTATTGTATATGATGTCTCATATACGATTATAAAAGAAATGATTAAACATTCTAACTCATATATTGCTCATATTTTGTAAGAAAAAAAAGGTGAGTTCAATTACCTCTTTTAGTTGATTATACTTCCTCCGATCTACTTTAATTGATTTTTTGGTCTTTTTTTGTGGTCCATAATATTTAACTTTTTTAAATATCAAGAAGAAATTAACTTTTTTTTTTTTAAAGTTGCGCTTGGAGTAAAAGAGCCTAGGAGTATTTGTTGTACTTCCAATGAACAAATTAAAGTTAATATGGTCAATTTTATTATTAATTAATGCTAAAAGGTGAATTCTTTACTATGTGTAAAAATAACCAAAAATTCAATTAGAGTAGATCGGAGGGAGTATTATAAATATTAATAATTTAAAATTTTCTTATACTTAACAATAAACATTGTCAGTAGGCGTCCTTGCACCTAGCCAGAATTTTATATGTTATATCAGTTCAGGTTATTATGGAATACCTGATTTTTTTATTGCATTTCATTTTTTTTCCTTTGAATTTTAGAAACAGCACAATTAAAGCGCTAAAGTTCTCTTTTTCTTTATATGGTGTTTAATTCTTCGTATGAGCATAAACTGTTTATAATGCTTCAAGTTCACTATTTTGAATTAAACGCCATGACTATCTATCTTATGGGCGGATCTACATGTAAGGGACAGGGTGGTACGCCACCCGCAAGTTTTGGCCAAATTTATGTAATAGTATATGTACATGCATGTACATATAGAAGGAATATATACAAATATGGCACCCTCGTAACAAAAAGGTTCAAGGTGCCGCTGGCAAGGCACTGTCACTTTCACCCAAATGGTGGGGGATGTTTCTTCTTGCTTTTTACTTAATTGCTCTTTTTTGTTTATTAATAGGTCCTATTGACTTTTTCTTTGATCTTATTAATTTATTTTTATTCAAAGAAATCTCTATTGTTGCACTTTCCTAACTTCTCCGTGATTTATCAATAGATCTGATAAAGAAAAATTAATTATTTTCTCCAGGATCACAACTCTGAGAATCTATTTGCAGAAACCCAAAAAATTAAAAAAAATTAAAAAGAATCCTTGAATAAGTTATTGTTTTAATCAATGATGAAAGTTTATTTTTTTGTCAGATTGCTCTAAAGTAGGACAATTGTATATAATATCGAGTGAGTTAATTTTTATGAAAAATATAAATTGAAAAATATCTGTAAACTTACTTAATATTTAAAGTGCTTATTAGTATAAGTTTTTGCCTTAAGTATCTAAATATAAAGTGATAACGAGTCTTTTTTTTTGTGCAAAATACATAATCCAGTTGAATATTTATGCTTTTTTTTTTCAAGTTATCATAATTATTATGTAATCTTTTTGCTCGATCGATTTGTTTATATTAACTCCAAAGACGAATAACCCGAACTGAAACCCGAATAGACCAAACCGATTAAATTTATACCCTATTAGACAATGTAAATTGTAATATGACTACGTTCAAAACTTTTGGCACTCGCACTACTAGAAATGCAGTCTTTTCACAGGGAAGAATAGGTGGGAAATCTGTGTGAAATTTGAATATTCCCACGATATTCCCAGGGGAGGCGCTCCGTGGGAAAATGGCTAGTGGAAAAATAATTTCCCAGGACATTCATGGGTAATTCCCAGGAAGTTTCCCACAAAAGGTTTCACGAGAATTTGGTGGGGCCACACAGTGTATTTTTTCACGACCGCTGTGGGAAAAAGAAGAAAATATAATAATTTAATTTTCCTAAGTTTCCCACCGAATCCGTGGGAAGTAATAAAAATAATTTAGTTATTTTTTTATTTTACCCACGGAATCAGTGGGAAATATGCATAACCTGGAAATAAAACTATAAACATTCCCATGAATATCAGTGAACAATATTGAAATTCTTGAAAAAATATGGGCAAAATTCCCAGAGAGTTGGTGGGAAATCCGTGGGAAATCTGGTAAATATTTTCATGATAAAATCTGTTTTTAGAACTACACCACCTGCCAAACAGAAAGTACAACCATGAATACAAGACTAAATACAATTAAGCATTCAAATACCATAAACAACATCTAATTCAATCCATTTCATAAACAACATCTAATTTAATCTATTTTATAAACAATATCCAATAAAACATAGAGTAGAACAAAAACTCAAAAAATCCAGCATTCAAATTCAACATCCAAGTACCATTTAAGACAAACTAATAAAAGAAACTACTCTTTAGTTATCATCAGATGCTGCTGGAGAACGAGGCACGGGAAATGCACCAGATGCTAAGAGGGAGTTTATCTGAGACTTAAAACTTTTAACATCACTAGTGACAAGTCTTAATGCATCGTCCTTTCGCCTCATTTCTTCCTCCCTTCACCTTTCCTCTTCCTCTCTTCGCCTATCTTCTTTCTCCCTTCACTTTGCCTCTTCTTCCCTTGCAGCCGTTTCTTGAAGATACAACTCTGTAATCTTCGCTACCTTCCTATTCAATTGCTCAAACTCATTCAGATCAACCGAGCAATGTGACGAAGAATAAGAACCAGACAATCCAGAAGTACGACGGCCGAGACTAAACTCTGATCCAAGGCCGTAGACTCTCCCCTTATGCACGCCACCAGCTACCTTAATCCACATGTCCATGATCTCCTCTTGGGTTGGTTGGATTGGCCTACCTTGATCATCAATCGACTGGCTTTGAATGAACTCCTCCAAGATTCGTTTGAAATTATCCTGTAAAAAAATTATAATTATTATGAAAGTAAATTTTACTAAAGAAAATTTATGCAAATAAGTATCTTTATTTCTCAAACTTTAAAGTGAAACACACGGAAAGATTAAAAGCGTAGCAGCCTTGCTGGACTTAATCATTGCCATTTGTTCACCAACCTTTTCACATGGCATTTCATCCAATAAATCCCTTGTTCCTTATGCTTTCCGGACCAATAGTTGGACATGCAGAAACTAAGAAATATGCTGACTTTTCCTTAAATAGTTCTAGCCTGGAATCACAAGTTTATAATAGAGAGAAGTTGACAGTGTGTGCTCTCGTCATAACAACTAGAATCATAAAAAAACAACATAGAGTGTCGATGCTTATGTCACACCATCCAGCTACTATAACCATATCTCAAGAGCCAAAAGCTTTTGCAGCCAATTTGTTTGTAAGACTATATATTTAATTGCTGGATGTCACTGTAAACGGTTCTTGAAATCAGACCTCTTTGTACCACATTACTCCAAAACATATCTAAAAGGCTATTCTCATCATAGTAAGAAGCATTAAAACTTTTGTAGATTTTGAGAATTATCATTAGCCTTCTTCACATCTCGTCTAACAAATATGAAGCAACGTCAAGATTCCCCACTTTAAAGTAAGCATATACAAGAGTATCATATACTAGACTATCCCCAAGACCTCCCTTTGTTTGCAAAATGTGGAAAACTTTTTCAGCACTATCAATTCTACCTCTCTTGCACAATCTCTCAATGAGACAACTGCTATATCATTATTCTGGTGGCAGTAAACATCCACAAGCCACGAATATGAGTAATAACTGGGAGACAGTCCAACACTAACCATGTTGAATAAGATTTCTTTGGACCATCTATATGCCTAAGAAATAATATCCAATACGTGCATTGTACAATATAAGCTCACTGCACTAATAAGTGCAAACACATCTTAAACATCAAGCATATGATAGAGCATTTTAGAGCATTTCAGAATGCCATGAGTAGAAATGTATTTTTGATATTCATATATGTGAAGAATATTGTTAATCTTACATGGGTTGTCTCAGCGCGCAGCTCAATCCAAGTCGTTTTTGTTCCATCCTTCAACTTCTTCATGTGGATTTCCTCAAACACCTCATCATGAGTAACTGGTTTTCCTTTAGCCTTTTCCTGCAAAAATAAATAATATGTTAAAAAATAATAACTAAAATAGTTATAAATCAAGAAAAATATAAAAAATACATTACCAATCTTCTTTGATGAGCCGCCATACTAATTGAGCCGCCTGTATGCACCGAGCCACCCTTGTTGGACAAACGGGCTGCCCTTCCCTGTTCGCTCTTCTTCTCAAATTCCGAAGAGTTCCAATATTCAAGAAGTTTAACCCATAAATCATCAAGAATCCAACTTGGCCTCTTTTTACTTTCTCGAGCAGTCCGAAGCATATCAGACAACCTATCAGAACATTTCTTAAAGAAAACGATTCGTACCTCAGCTTCAAAATCGCGTGACCATGCACACTCGTACCTGAGATTAATTACTCCGACATCATTAACCAAACGACCTCTGAAAAATTATTCTTCAAGAGCTATGAAAACTTTTACTAACATTTTTAATTTATCATAGAACCACTTCCTTGAGATTAATCACTATAATATATCAAACTAGGAATGGACAAACCAAACCGACTCTTAATACTGCTTAATAAAGAACAGTGAGGGGGAAATACTGCTTTATATCATTTTCACATATATGAGAAGGTTGTCTGGACAAAAGTGCAAAAATGCAAAAGAAAATACTATACTATTTTAATTTACAGAATGAGAAAATACTTTTTAAAGGGACACCACCTCTTAACCAAAATGCTTTTTCTCTGTAACCGTTGAAGATAGAGCCATATATCAACTAACCAGACCAAATTATACCAATTTATCAAACACCCATTTTCTCTCTCTATTTCTATCAAATCCAAACAAAACTCGAAACAAAGAGGAAAAGAACAAAGGGTAGGCAAATATAATTAGAAAAATACCATTTGCTTTGGAGACTGCAAGAAGTGCAAGCTTACTCTCCTCCTAACGGAAAAAACTTATCTATACTGAGTGTTTACACCCGACCAATAAATAAATAACACATGTTACTTTATTTAACTATAATTATTAGTGCTTAACCGTAGTTAAGTACCATATATTTTGCACATAACCTTGAATAAATATTAATATAAAAATACTCAACATCTTAAAATTTCATACTGTCTGTTGTCTACTAATGGTGAATATGTGTGGCCTTTTATTTCGATATGCTATTACCACACAAAAGGTAAATGGCTTAGTTTGTGAAACAGCAAACATGTATATTAAAAAAGAATAAACTCGTACGAAAGAAGTTCATCAATTGCACTTGACTTTGCATAACTACACTATTACTGATCATGAAAAGTTTATCAAACTTAATCTTGAAAAGAAATTTTCAATTTATGTTTTAACGACTTTTTTTGTGAAGACAATAATAGCCTAAGTGGGGTTACTAACTGAACTAAAGTTTAGGAGAATTTTTTCAGCACACATTAACTTAACATGGTGTAAACACCCGGTGCAGGTAAGTTTTTTCCTCCTCCCAACTCTCAAAGCTCTATTTTCTGTATCTCTATTGGTAATGCCAAAAACTATTGCTCCTTTCTGCAAACTCCCCACAACCCCATAAACCAAAACGCATGCTCCTCCATAACTTTGCCTATATTAACCAACACATCACACCCTACTTCTTCCCACTTCCTACTCATCAACTTTCTTCTATTTCCCAACTATTCTGTATTCTTTGTATGTTTTCTTGATCTAGGTATTTCAAGAAACTAGCCAAAGATGATAACTTTATATAATTTCTATCATGTTATGACTGTTGTTGTGCCACTTTATGTGTCTATGATATTAGCTTATGGTTCTGTTAAGTGGTGGAAGATTTTTTTCCCTCACCAGTGTTCTGGTATTAACAGATTTGTTGCACTTTTTGCAGTCCACTTCTCTCTTTCCACTATATAGCTGGTAATAATCCTTATACAATGAACATATCAAATTAAAAATATCCCACCATTTGACACTCTAATCTCCATCCAATCAAGAAATCAATTCAAAATATAGTACCTTGAGAAACAGGATTTTAACTTACCAAATTCTCAGCACCAGGAAGGTTTCCGTTTTTGGCAAGATTGACAGCAAGCTCAAGATTATTCAACTGCAACAAAATTTATAAAAAAAATTATGTCTTTCATGGTCATAGATTACCAAATTTTACAGTACTG